CATACTGAAACTGTTCAGGGAGCAATGCTGCTTCATACACAAGGCTTCTGGCTGATCAAGTGCGCACATGGACAGTGTCTCATCTAATGCTGATAGCAATCTAGTTAGATGAGGTCACTGTAAAGATAAGAAGTGTAGAGGCAAAGGTATAAAGACAAAGTGATTACCACACTGAGTGAGCATGGAACACAAAGCTACAGTGGACAAAGCACACTATACAGCTAAGCATGATGACACTGGTGGCAGCAGGTATCTTATGATACCTGGTACTCTGCAGCACCCACCATGTCCTTTTCTCCTCTTGTACTCCCTCCAATCTTCTTAATGGCCCTATTCAGGGCTTTCTGGAAGGGCATCAGTCCTGGAGATGAATTCAGACAACATACTTGACCTTCCTGTCACATGAGACACCTCTGTCCTGTATAGGGCTCAACTCTAGAAAGAGCCCCTAAATCTCTGGGCCTGCGTCTGCTCAGGACCCCATTATAGCTCAGTTTACTACCCCAGCTTCCCTGAGCTACACCACCACTATCTCTATCTCCTACTCAAAGACAGCCCAGCCTGTCCAGCCACAGCCATTTCCCAGCTTGGACAGTGTGGAGCTGGCAGCCCAGCCAGGCTGTGCCCAAAGCTCATGTCTCCTTCATCCATGACCACAGGGTTCAGCTGCCAATGTTCACTGGCAATCAACCATCTGTCCCGTGGGTGAGAGACCCAGAATAGCCTTCGTCGAGGTACCATTCACAAATGGGGCCTTCTTAAAGGCTCCTTACATGGAAGAGGGTGGGACTTTAACCTGCTCTGCACAGGGGGTAGGTAGGGAATCTATTCTCAGGAGAAATGAGAGGTTGGTCTCAGTTCCAGCAAAACACACATTTCCTTGGGCTAAAAGCATCTTTGTGGGGCACATCCAGAAAGAGACAGCAAGAGCAAAAGGCAGGCCCCACAGCCACAGAGGCCAAGTGAGAGGCCACACCAGCGCTGGGCCCTGGCATGCAAAGGGTGAAGCTTTTAGGCGAGCAGCGGCCAGTGATCTCAGCTTCCTCCAGTCCTAATGCTCCTGAAAGGCTCTCTCCTGCTCCCTGTAATTGGGCATCAGTAGTTAATGCAGTATTGACTGCATTACACGCTCCCGTGCCTCCCCTCGCTAATGCCAATTGCATCACCTTGTACAGTCACCGGCTTGCTTAGCCAATAGCTGTTAAAAGCAATCCAAATCATGAATCATATGGGAAACTTTTAGCAAGACACCACCATCCAAGGAGACAATTTACAGTTGAGTTAATCTGGGTACATTAGTGAGACATGGATTCTGGACGACAGACCAATTTATGTTGTTTCCCTGTCCCCCTCCTCCCTCAGTGCTCTGTGTGGGCAAATGAATGGAAGAGCAGGGAACTGAGAGAAACACCTGCCTCTTTACCCAGCACTCTGGGAGGGGGTGGGGAGACCCATCTTTGCAGACTCTGCCTGCTTGAGTTTGGGCAGGAAGGGGAACCAGCTGTACCTGCTGTTCAAGATTTGTGATGCCTCATTCCCAGCAAAGAGGAGGTGGGTCATGGGAGGTGCAGATGGAGACGACCCCTTTCTAGGCACCAGGTGAGTGTTAGGTCTGATTCCCACCCTGCTGGTAGGCTGTGCCTTCCTGGCAATGGGCTGGAGGGTCTGGCATGGCCCAGCATCGAGGCCTGCTGTTCCAGAGTCATAGAAGACTGGGCTACGCTGCCAGGCAAGGCCCCCAGGACTTGCTGTGATATAGTGCATAATAAAATATCCTAGGAGGGGTTGGAGCTGCTCAGTACCTGCGCTAGCCAAGTGCCAGCCTCTCAGATGAATCAAGTCAGCTGTGGGGGCTGTGTTCCTAGTGGTCATTAACAATTGAAGACCGCTGTCTGGTCCTTCTTTGCCCAGCTCCATTCTCCTTAAGCATGTTTTACTTATTATAAATGCTCTAGGAATCATGTCTGGTGTTTAGCTCTACAATCTACTGGCTGCTTCCTGTGGCCATTGCAGCTGTCCTGCTGGGCATTTCCAGAGGCAGGTTATATCCAACCTAGCCTTTCTCCACCACATACCAGGAACGTGCCAGTATCATGTCCTCTCCTGCCCAGGTGCTTGGGGCCCAAGTTCCCACACTGTTCTATCTGTTCCTCCTCGAGGGATTCTTTACCAACACCATGCCTCATTGATTCTTAAGATTCAGGGCAGTTGCTCCCTTTGCTCCCCTGGGACTGGAAGTCTCTCCCAATGCCCACAGTCTGGTGCCAGCCTAAGTTTCAGGTGCCAGGAGAAGAAGGTCTGTGTCTCCGGGAAAGTTAGAGCTTGGCTCCCTTTCACTGACAGACAAACCCAGCAGCATTTAGAAAGCCTGGACCCTGAGTTCCAGTAAAGTGGAGATAGCTAGGCCAAGAGCAAGCGTCCAAATGAAAGCAATTAATCTTAAAACCTGAAGTTTAACCGTTTGCAAAACAGATCTTTCTGTCTCTGTGGTGACCCTTCACTGCTCGACCTAATGGATTACTTTATTAATAATGCACTGTGCTTAAAAGCAAAAAAAAAATTTTTTCTGACGATTCAATACTTCAGAAAGTCTCTTAAACCCGTTGCTACGGCAAAACGATTGATATTTTATTATCTTTCAGAAGTGCAACATGAAAGCCCTGCAGCCCAGCAGAGCGAGAGCTTTGGTCCTCGGCAGCTGGCAGGCCTGACTTCAACCAAAGGAGCCCTAGCCTTTCCCGACAAGATGCTGTCAGATGGAGAAAAGACATTGGGGGTGGCTAATAGGAGCCCCAAGTCCCTGCTGCAGCCAGACAAAGGGTGCTGTGTGCAGCCTCTGGAGAGCACACTCCTAGGACCCAGGGGCCTAATGCTGCCCCCCAGCTCAAGAGCATAAGTGTACAGGAAGAAGTGAAGCAGTGAGTGTGGAGGAGCAGGTGAGCTTTTTTTCTCCTCTTCCATTGAAGAACCAGCCATCTTCCTGGTTCTGGAACTGGGGAAAGCCAAACTCTTAACAGAGTGGAGCTTGGATTTCTGTGTAGAAAGGATGCTTTTGGAGGTTAGCGCTAGGCTGGTCAGGACAAGAATTCCTGGCTGCTCAGAACCCCAGGCACCTGCCTTTGTGACACTATTACGGGCCCCGGAGCCTAGTAGTGTCAGTGGTAGCAGGCAGCATATTTAGACTGCTCAGGTTGGGGGCCCAGGGGCATCCTGAGCTCTCTTCCACAACTGTGGCAGGGACCAGGAGGAACATAACACCCAGATGACTCAGGTGCACTGCAGATTGGAGGCTCAGAGACCCATTCCCACTCAGGGCTCATTTGAACAGCTTAGCATTATCACAGAGCCCGAGGGAGTCCAGGGGACCTGGACAGAGATCCATCTCCAGACCCCAGCTGGAGGTGAGGTGCCATCTTGTTAGCATGAGGCCATCTCCTTGACCTGAGGACTCCCACATACAGAGCTTGGGTCTTTGGGATTTCTGGTTTAGGCCTAGGGAGCCAAGCACACCGAATAACAGCACTTAAAAGATGCACCTTGATTTCCACATGTTCCCCACAGGGTGACCCTTTGCACTGGCTTCTACAAGCCCTTCCTTTTTACTAAGAGGGAAAAAGAAGTCTAGAGATGGCCATGACTGACCCTTGGTAACATGAGGGTAGTGATAAAAGGAGCTAAATTAAGTTTCTCCTCCCTCTCTGTCTTCTCTTTTCATTCTATATAAAACTGCAACAGCCCAGTCCTCTGATAGCCACATGGGCTCCAGGGCAAGGTCCATGAATAGAAGTTCACTGAAAAGCCAGCATAGAAGCATTCAGTCCCCTTTCCTCTCTTCCTGCGTGCATGTGGAGAACTTACCAGCCCCAAGGGGCTCCTACACTTTAAAGACCCCCTCCTGCTGATGCCTCAGAAGGTAAAGGTAGGCGGGGGCATCAGTACCAGCAGCAGCAGCAGAGCATCCTATGTGACCTTGATCAAGTCACTTAACTTCAAATCTTCACAAGCAACCATGTCAGGAACTGTGCTGATGGGCAGCAGGAGACAGTCACAGTGGGGGATACCTATGGACTCTCAGAGAACCCACCCTTTCAGCATGGGCATCAACAATCACGTCCAGCTTTCTTATAGCACCCACAAAATGGAAACCTTACCTAAAGGACATTCGTGGCCACTGCGAGGGAATGGTCATTCTCTGGTCACAAGGGAACTATCTTAGGTCACAAAACACATTTGATTCCAAAAGGGATTGGGCTTCCTAACTGTCTAGGACACTTGTGACACGTCTGCAAAGCTCTCCCAGCCAGGTAGGCTCCAGGATTTGTGGGGCCACCTGCCAGTGACCTCCAGATGTCACGGCTTGTGTCCTGACCTCTGGGCCTTACGGTCTTCTGTGAGTGCACTAAGGCTCCTGGCCAAGGAAGGTCCTTGCCACCTCGCTGATGGCAGGCAGTGGGACACTTTCTTTCTCTGGGCCAAACTCTCAGCTAGGAGCTCAGGGAGCCAGAGATAGTAGGCCAACCCAGGAGGCGTCTTTTGAGTCACGCTCATGTGCAGCTCCTCTCCCCTGTCCCCAGGGCCCCTGTCGCGCACGGGGCACCCAGCTTTGCGCTGTGCTCCCGCGCTCCCACCAAGCTCTGGAGCCCAATTCTCCCCGAAGCCGCTGATTTGTCTGGCGCTTGGCGCCTCTGGGTTACGCAGCCGGCTCAGGGTGATGGCTGCACGGAGAGAAGCAGCCGCCAGACCCAACGCTCCACGCGAACGCCCGCGGCGCGGAGATCCCGGCAGCCGAGCCTCCTCGCGGCCCCGCGGCGCAGCACACGGCCCGCGCCCGGCTCGCAGCTGGAGCCCGGAGCTGCTCATCCCACCCGTCCCGCTGCACGCTGCAGCTCGGTAACCCCCCGCAGAGCCCGGCGTGTGTGCCCAGCGTCCCGAGTGTGTTCCCTGCTCGCCGCGGCCGGGGGGCGAGGGGTGGGGGCGTCGGGACCCCGGCCACCACCTACCGTCCTCCTTGTCCAGCACCATCATCTCGGGCGCTCCGTGTCCAGCCGCAGCTCGGCTCGGCCGGGAGAAGGGCGCCGACTCGGGGCGCGCTTGGCGGGGCGGTCGGTCCTCGGGCAGGCAGCGAGCGGGCTCTAATTACCCGCTTGTCCGGCTCTTAACCTAGATTGCACTCAGCTAGAATTACATTCAGGAGTGAAGCACTTCGCAGATACAAAAGCAGTCTCACCTACTTTTGTGCCTCAGAATTGCAAGGAACTACGAACTGCAATTTAGAGAGAGAGAGGGAGAGAGAGAGAGGGAGAGACAAGAGGGAAGAGAGGATCAGAGCCGTTTCTTTGATTCTCACCTTCTAAATGGCTCAATTTGCCCAGTATAATCTGTCTTAATGTAATTGCATTTGATAGCTCATAACCCTGACTCTGGCAACGACACAGCTTTCAGCCTCATAAAGTGTTTTCCCCTCGGATTTAATCTGAATCTCAATCTAAAATTATATTCAAAGAGATGGGGGAATCTCGGCGGCCGCCTCCCGCTGCCTTTCTCCCTCAGTGTATGAGGTTTGCACTCCTGCTACTGAATAAATGCACACATTTCCCGAGGTCCCCCTCCCTCCCGGGTTAATGGGGAGTGGAGACGCGCGGCTGCCCAGCTCCGCAGCGCCACCTGGAGGTCTTTCTGCCGCAGTTCGGCACCTGGCTCCGCTGGGGTCCTAGGGCCCTGGTCTGTGATTAGTATGGCGAATGACCCGGGACAGTTACTCCCAGCCCCTCGGCCTTGATTTCTGCTTCTGCATAAGGGCGATATTTCTTTGATCGCTTCCCTCCCTCCTGCAAGGCCTGTCCAGGGTTTCTGGGTATTTTTCAGATTGTTGGCAAAGTTAACCCTCTGCAGGGCACAAAACCTCCCCCTGGAATTCCTACAGCACCACCTCTGACCTCAGCAAATCCCCAAGAGCATTCTGATTCATGGAAAGAGGGAGCTTGCCTCAGCTTCTCTCTGAGCAAGTGCAGCACAGCCTTGAAAGCTTTTCTCCTTCCACAAATATTTATTGAGCATGTATTATGTGCCAAGCACCATTGTCAGGCACTAGGAACACAGCAGCGAACAAAATCAAGATTCCTGCGGCTGTTACTAAGTTGAGACTTCTTGCACTGTAACTCATAAGTCAGGAAGGACAGCACTGTCCATCTCTTCTCCTGGACCCTGCTTCTCCCTAGAGCCCTGGTGCTGGTGCCCAGGCTACCTACTCCTGGAAAACCACCTACCTTTAAAGTCCAAGAGCCCCCAGTCAGACAGTACAGAGCTCAAGGTTGGAAATAATAATTGTTCTCCAGCTCATGGAGGGTTCCAGAAAGACATGCTGCAACTTGGTCCTGGCAGTCACTTCTGAGAACCGGACTCAGACAAGAAGGAAACAAGAGCATGGAGAGGCAAAGGGTCACCAGACAGGATTCTACCTCATGTTTGCCAATTAATAATGGCAGATGGACCAGGGTGGTGAGCAGGTCACTTTCTCTGACCTCAGTTAAGTGTCAAGTGGCCATCCTACTCTTCCTCTCTATAAGATTGCTGTCTCATTATCAGATAAGATAATGCATGTGAGTTTGCTCTGTAAACTGTGGTTCTCTGGAAAATGGGGGAGGATTATCTGTTATAAAGAAGACTTAGAGGCTAGGTCTTGCTTCTGACACTCGGGGGAGGCCCAGGTTGGACAGGGATGGAGAATGGACGGCTGCAGTCAATCTCCTTCCCTCCCAGGCAAGAAAGTCAGGCTTTGAGGAAACAGAAGAGTAGCTGCTTCTAATGAGATGCTTCATCCACAGCTCAGAGGGTTTCGCTTTCCCCTTCATCTTGAATACTTAATCCTAATAGTCCTTGAGTATATTTGATGTTAAATATATCATTTTTCTCAGACTCGGTATCCCTCAGGACTGCTAGCTTGATCTCTCCCCTGCCACTGCAGCCAAAGCTGTGCCCTCCAGCTCTAAGTGAGGCTTTAACACTGCTGCTACCAACATATTTGGTGCCAGCCCCTGACCCTGGCCTGTGCTGGGGGCCTGGTGGTGTAGAACAGGACCACACCAGCTTCTTGCTATGGAAATCTCTGTTCTACTTGGAGGCATTTGCTATAAGGGCTGCAGCCTTACCCATGACCTTCAGAGGCTGCTTCTCATTTTCAGGAGCTAGGCCTGACCCAGAAACTAGGACTCAGCTGGCTGGGGCCATTTGCGCACTCTCTTGTATGTTGCACCTGAGCCTCTCTATGCCAACATCATAGCCCCCAAGGTACCCAGTCAGCAGCCACATGTTTGATATCCTTTGGGGGAGTCAGGAGCCCTGTGCCCCACACCTGGGGTGCTGAGCAGCCTGGATGCAGAAGGAAGTAGGCATGTCAGCAAAGTAGTGCTATGTATAAGGTCTTTCATGCCCACAACTGGCTTTCTCTGCCCCCAACTGACCATGTGGTGCTCCTAAGATGATATGGAGAAGGGTCAGAGAGTGGCCCAAGGCTCGGGTGGCCTGAGCTGCCAGCTAAGAAGGAGCTGCAGAGTTGACGGAGGAAGACATGAGCCTCAGCCTCACTTAGTGGGGGCCTCTTCCTTAGCTCAGAGGTAACTGTTACCCCCATGTTCATCTCAGTCCAGGCTCAGGGACACATCACAACAATAGGATGGAATCCCCAGACACCCTGGGGCTGAAAAGGCAGTTTTTACTCAACACATTCCACAGGTGATGAGCATGTACTCTCACTTTTACATGCCAAGAGTGCTCCAAAATGTCCTTGGAATGCCTCTGGGGACAGCAGAGGGGAGCCAGTTGATCAGCCCTCAAGGTTATTTTGAGGAGAAAGGAGGTGCTACTGAATGCTTTACAAATTTCTGGGCAGGTCTCAGCAGTATGTCCTTCTGCCTGGCAGGAGAGTCCTAAGCAGGATTCCTGCACTGGTGTTGGGGTTGGGGGTGCAGGGCTCAGTGCCTGAGGGTCTGGGCAGCTAGGTATTCCAGAACTTTTCACTGTGGCCAGATATGCCTCAGCCTGAGGGTCCTGCTCTTAAAACGGTGCAGCTGTCTACAAGATGGAGTTGTAGGCTCGAGTCAGAGGCCACACTTAGAGAGGTATTCAGGATGACAAGAGCCTCTTCTGTGTGGCCACCACAATTCACAGGAAAGAATGAACCTACCATCTTTGCAGTGCAGCCAGGATAGAATGCCTGCTGGCCAAGTTCAAATGTTCTGCTCTGCCGCATCCCCTACTACACAAAAGCAACTGGTGCACAGGAATTTGCAACCAACCAGAGTGGTGAAGTACACAGTTACAAACTTTCCCTCTTTTAGGTTTTAGAAAGCCCAGACAGGCCTTCTGAGAAACTACAGTCATAAATTGTTAGGACTTTTAGAAGTCCATGCCAAATCTGCAACCCAGAAAACCAGTCTACTGTACCCTTTGAAGAAGGCCAATCCACCTCCACACATCAGCCTAAGAAAGCCTTGAGCTTGCCTGTAGACTGAGATGCTTCCTATGCAAGCAGGACTTTCAGGGCTGAACTCAAGACATTGATCACCATAGGGGAGGTGGTAGGGGGGACAAGGGATTAGGAACACTAGAAAGGAAGGCCAGCCAGACTCTTTTCCTGAAGACCAACCACTGCCTCCCAACCCCAAATTTCTGAGCCCCCAGTCCCATCACTTCACTCTCCAGACACTAAAGCCTGTCAAAGCCCCTGGGAATGGTCTTCAGGCAGACAGAGCAGGACAGGTATTAGTTGGATCTGGAGTGGATTTAAAGTTTGAGGACCAAAGTTTACTGTGTTTGCGGTAAAGAATAGGAATACAAGATTACTAATGCAAAATGATCACCAGGAACCTGGCAACTGAAGAACTTCGAGCACGGGAACTTGGCGTCCAGGTAAATCTGCCACCTACCTGCCCTATACAACCTACCAGCTCCCCATCCCTGGCTGAGTGAACTCAAGGCTTGTGTCTGTCCCAGCCCGGCAGGAGCCGGGGCAGTATCATTCATCCTGCGGCCATAAAGTCACGCTGACTGTTCTGCATCCTTACTCCCATGTTCTCTGGGCATCTGCATGGGACAGCGGGGTGGGGTGGGGTGGGGGGTGTCCCTGCCGCATTAAGGTGCAGAAGGGGGACAGGCAGCCACCTAGACGGGTGCAAAGACCCGCACCGCCAGGGAAGCCCACGGGCTCGGGTCTCAGAGGCGCTCCAGTTGCCCGCGACGCCACAGAGCCAGTGAGAAAGTTCTTGGCCCAAGTGTAGGTGGCTGCTGACCTCCAAGTGGCCGCAGAGACTTCCTGATCCGGGAGGAACCCCGAGGCGTCCCCGATACACACAAGCCCGCGCGCACACACATGCAGCCTGGAGGCTTGCAGGGAGCCAGCCACCAACAGCCCGAAGCGGCCGGGGCAGGAGCCTCACCTGAGCCCGCGCCGCCGTCCTGGCCCACGAGTCCCAGACATCCGCACAGCGCAGCCGGCACCTACCGTGCTCCTGCTCCAACACCATGGTGCCCCGGCGCTCCGGCCGGGCGCCGGCCCAGGACGCAGAGGGGCGCGCGGCTCCGACTCCCGCGCCACCCGCCGGCGCTGCTCCCTCCGGCCCAGCGAGGGCTCCGCGCCCCGGGCGGACGGACCGGCTCCCCGAGCAGCGCCCCGCGGACCGGGCAGCGGGAGGGGCGAACGGGACGCGGCGGGGGCGGGGCGGGTCGCGGAGGTGGGCTGGCACCCGGAGCCGCTGCAGGGCCGGGCCGGGCCAGGCCGGGCAGGAGCCGGAACCGATCCGAGCAGCAGCAGCGCGCGGGTTCCCGCTTCCAGCCGGCCGCGCTCGCCTCGCAGAGTGCAGCCTGCCTTTCCCAGGGCCCCTCAGATTCCCCTGTTAATTAAATCAATTCATTATGCTCAGATCTGATTAGCGGCCCTTCCCCCCCTTTGAATCAATTATTCAATACACAAACATAATTGCTTGGGCCAGAGGTGCCCGCCATTAGCTTATTTAACTCCAAGGACACTAATTACCCGCAGGGCACGGGAACTTTTCTCATTAATTCTGACAAAACACAAAGGCACAGCCAGAGTGTGTGCGTGTGAGGGACTCTGTATGTGCGTGTGTGACAGCGTGCCAGTGTGTGTGTGTGCGTGTGAGGGACTCTGTGTGTGCGTGTGTGCCAGTGTGTGTGTGTGCGTGTGAGGGGCGGGGGAGACAGAGGCTGCGTGCCATGGCGAGAGCTGCGTGGGGTGGCCGGCCACTGTGCGAGTTTAACCCGAGAGCTTGAGAGGAGAGGGCGCCAGGTGTGCGATGGGGCCTGTGACCCTGCCCCCTGCCGCTTTGAGTGTGGGACTCCCTGCATGTGGCTGTGAGGCGCTGTGTGAGTGCATCCGCCGCGGAGGTGTCCCCTGGGGCTGGGACTGTGGACAGGGCGGACCCCACCCAGCGCAGGAACCTGTGTGAGGTGGGGAGAGTGCATCTGTGCGGTGTGTGAATGTGGCTCACTGGCTATCAGAGCAGGAGCTCCAGCCCCTGTATTTTGTCTTTATTGCCCAGCCTTTGCCCTCTGTGTGCACACTCAGATTTAGAGAAACCAGGGAGTCAGGAGACAGTTGATGCTGGAGCCAGGATGGGCCACAATATGCACCCTCCCCATCACCTGTGCCCACATGCACTGGGTTCTGCTTCCCCTGTACCCACCAGCTCAGCCAGGTGCCAAGCCTAGATTCCCGCCCTGCTTCTTTACCCTCTCACTACCCCTCCTGGTACCAACCCTGCGCCCCTACTCTCCACTTTGATTTCAAGGCTCCCAGCGCCCTATTTCCACGTATGCTTGACACCCAGGCCCACCCTACATTTCCACCCACCCAGTGCCTAGTTCCCAGCCTCCTGTCTCTCGAGGCCGTGCAGTGGGTGTGCTTATGGTTGACCAACTTCTCCACATTTTACCTCCCAGGAAATCTCTATTGAGAGAGCTAGTGAGAGAGCCCATAGAGGCAGGGACACAGAAGGTAATTGATTCCCCCAAATTAGGTTTCTGCTTTCTAAAGACCAGTATTGTTCCTGTTCTCAATGTGCACAGAGGTATTGAAGATTTCCTTTTTGTTTCCTCAGGCAATGAATGAGCTTAATCCATTTGGCTTTATAAATCAGGAAACTAATATTCGCTCCTTCCATAGCAGCTTTTTCAAATTTTTAATTGGCGGGGGAGGCGCAGTTAGTCACCCTGATGCTGTCCCCAAGCCCCCACTTATCAAAACACATCCTGATTGAGGGGTGGAGAGAAGGCGGGGTGGGGGGAGCTCATGCTGGTTCTCTTGCCCTCCTTCCTCCTCGCACATGAACTCACAGACGGTCTGGGAAAGTCTGTGAAATGATTGCGTGAATTATATTCAGTTTAGTGAAGAAAAGGGGTTCTTAAGAATCCTCGCTCAAATTGGCTGCTCTTAATTGCCCACTAGCTCTGAGCCACTGAGCACAGCCATTCCATGCTCCAGTTTGGCCATCCCTCCTCTGCACCATCCTGCACAGCCGCTGGAGTTATCTTCCTGGTGCCAAGATCTAACTTAGCTCCTCTTGCTCAAAAAAGAAAAATCTTGGATGGCTCTGGATTGTCCACAAGATAAAGTTGTAAGTGCTCATCCTGTCTCCTCAGGTGCCTTGCAACCCGGGGCTGCCTTGGCTCCCACCACTAACTCCTTGCTACTATCTTTTGGTTTTACCCATGTCGTACCTGCCCCCCATGGGCTGCTGTACCACAAGGGACTGTCCTGGGCGTCTTCTCTGCATAGAGAGCCCCTGTCCACCTCTCACAGTCCTCTAAGGAACAGCTCCCCATTTTCCTCCAAGTGGCTATTTCTGAAAAGCAGAGTTGCTTGTGATTTGTGCATTATTCCCTTAAGGCCTGGGGGACATAGCCAGCCACAGTGGGCAGGGTTTCAGCTCTCCCTCAGAGGGGGAGAACATGTAGGGTATCAAGAGGTTCCCTGGGAAAATGGGCATTGAAGATCAGGAAAGGTAACTTCTTCTGGACTTGAGATTCAAGAAGGGAAGATCAGAAGCAGAAACCCCAGAGTGGTGCTTTTTCCTAGGATCTTGGATAGATGGCATGGGAACAGTGCCCAGGAGCCTGCTTTTTCCTACACCCAATATTTGGATTCTCACACTCTTGCTATTTAGTTTTCCGTGTATCCAGGCAGGGCCATTGCCTAAATCGGTGCTAACTGCTCCTTGTATGTGGGCATCTAGTCAAGGGAGCAAGTGGGGTCAAGATTCTCTCTTTGTTCTCCAAGCCATGTGCCTAGTTTAGGCTGCACCCACCCAGAGGTGATACCTTTTGCTAATTTGCATAAAAGTGCCATTCAGATTAGCATGGCTCTGCAACTGGATATCTCTACTCTACCAAAAAGTCACATGCAGATAAAGCAGCCTGAGAAGTGAGTACCCAAGCTCCCGCTCTGACCTGTGCTTGCGGCCAGGGCCTGTATGAGCTATTAAAAGAGTAGTCTCCTGGTGTTCAGAAAGAGAGGGAGGGAGGGAGGGAGGGAGGGAGAGAGAGACAGAGACAGAGACAGAGAGACAAAGAGAGAGACAGAGAGAGAGACAGAGAGAGAGAGAGACAGAGACAGAGAGAGAGAGATCAGCATGAAGACCTCAGGTGGCCCGCTCTATCTTTGTACGTGTGCAACCACCAATTCCTGGTGAAGGACTCTGAACTCATTTCATAGCTGGGACTAAGGGAAGCTGGGAAAGGGAAGACTTGGAATGGAAAGACCCTTGTCTTAAGGAATAAGTTTCCTATGGGAGGGCCATGTTGTGGCCATGTTGTGGGAGAGGTAAATAGCAGTTAGATGGCATTGGTTGGCAGCAGCTCAAAGCAACACAGCAAATGCATCAGGCAGCAGATCTAGTGGTATGGACAGCAGCTATTCCATCAACCCCAATCTCTTAACCTGGAATCGTTAGGGAATGACTCTCCAGAACTGAGAATTGAGCAGCATCCAGAGGGCACTTGGGTTACACACGTGAGCAGTCGTTGAAGGCCTCACAACTTTTTAGAAGGGAGGATCCTGGAAAGACCGTTGGAACATTAGAATGGGGTTAATTATTATAACTGTACGAGATCTGGAACTCGGCCTTGTATGGCCTGTATGTCCCGACCTGTCTGAGCTGCCTACAGGCATGATGGGAAAGGCCATGTGATCCAGAATGGACCAGTAGCGGGAGCAGCCACCGCTGGGACTACCGGCTTCTCCTGGCGGCAGTGGAGCTTGGTACATTGATGTGTTACACAAAACAGATTGTCTGGTAAGTTAAAAAATAATATACAGCCAAATGCTGTTTACAAGAAATACTCTCAAAACAAGGTGACAAAAAAAAAAAAAAACTGAAAATAAAGCAACGGCAAAAAATATACCAGGCAAATGCAAGCAGAGAGGGAGTAGGAACAGGAATATTCATGTCAAACAAAGCTTACTGCAAAGCTTAAAGCATACACTGCCTGAAAAATGAAAAAGCACACCCTTAAATTACTATTGAATCAAAAATAAGATTGAAGCCGAAATTATAACTGATTTAGTGATGAAAAGAAAATAATAACATGTCATACAGAAGTTGTGGGGCACAACCATGTGCAAGGAAATATGTCTTTAAATGCTTTTAATGTTAAAATAAAGACCAAGCACTAATAAACTAGATCTAAGATGTTAAAAAGAGCAAAACCAAAAGAAGAAGGCAATCAGGTTCACATTAAAAATTAATGAAATAGAGAATAAACAAATATTTTAATAATAATAATAATAATAATAATAATAGAAAGGGCAAGATAGAACCAAAACTTGCTTCTTTGAAAAAACCTTAATGAAATAGAAAAAGCCTTTCAGGAAAATCTGTCTAAGAAAATAAAGAAAGCCAAAATGTACACTATTAAATATAAAAAATGTCTCACAAGTATAGAAAAGGTAAAAGAAATATAACAACATGGATAAGCCTAGGAAAATAAATGTGAAAGCCTAGAGGAAATTACAAAAATGTTAAAACTGAGCATAGAAGTCAAAACCATGAATAGGTCACCAAATGGAAAACATTTAAAAAGAAATTAAAACTCTGCCATTAAAATATCACAAGGTACCATATGACCCAGCAATTCGGCTTCTGAATCTGTACTCAGAATAACTGAAAGCAAGTTCTTAAAGGAATATTTATATATTCACATTCACAGCAGCATTGTTCACAATAACCAAAAGGTGGAAGCAACCCTACTGTCTACCAAAGGCTGGACAGATAAACAAAGCATGGTATATCCATGCAATGGAATATTATTCAATCTTACAAAGGAAGGAATTTGTACATGCTGCAAATGAAATAAACTCATAACAAAAGGACAAATACTGTGTGATTCCACCTATAAGGAGTGCCTAGATATTCAGAATCATAGAAAGTAGCTATGATGGTGGCCAGCAGCTAGGAGGAGGGACAAATGTGAAATGTTGTTCCAAATGTGAAATGTTCAAGATGGAAAGAGTTCTAGAGAATAGATGAAAATTAGTGTTAATGTACTTAACACTATTAAACTGTACACTTAAAAATGGTTGGCCTGGTGAAGTTTATGTAATATGTATTTTACCAAAATCAAAAGTTGAGCATGGT